TCCCTGTGGTTGTCTGACTGTCAGTTAAAAAAAAAAAAGAAAAAGGCTGATAAGAAGGAAGGTTGTGCAGAAAGAGAAGATGCTGTCTGACTCAGTCTCTGGTTTTCCAGGAAGTCGATAGGTTCCTGCAGAGCTGCTGTCATCACCCAGTGTGTCCATGTGATGGTTAGGCAAGCAGACAGTTGTGTGGGGAAGAAACTGCCTTCCATGTGATGGTTGGGAAACTCAAACCAGTTTTCATCATGTTGTATTATGCAAGATCAAACACGCTGGAAAACTCGCTGTCATCCTCATTATCATCATGGTTATTGTAAATTAGGGAAGTAAAAGCATTACTAATACTGTAGTGTGATACAGTGGAGATGAGTCACAGCCTGGGAGAGTATATGTACTGGAGTCCATGTTTATGCATGACATAAACATGGACTCCAGTTTCAGCTGGGACAGTTTTTTTTAACTGCTCTGACAGTTCTTGACAAAGTTGAACCTACCCGTCAACAAAAACTTGCCATTTTTGTCTCAGTGTGTTTGTACCTGTAGGATCTCACTGATATGTTTATTAACATCTTAAAAACTGCTTACATAGGTAGATTTTCCATTAACAAATACAGGAACATTTCTGTGGATTGTCTTATGTTGGCTAACCTGCTTGGCTAGCAAAATGCATGTGTAATTCACTTTTAGAGTCGTGCATTTTCTTTTGTGATTTTTTCCCCATGTGTAAATGGACTGATTCATATAAATCGTTTCTCTACTCTACTTTATACAACAGATTGTTACTCTGTGATTTCCTGTTTTATTTTAATAGCTGGTTGTCTTCTTTCTTGTCCTATGGCCTTCCTCAGCAGCAGTGAACCGTTTCCATCTTCTGTCTTGTGTTTGGTTTGACTTAATTGTTTTCACGTTGTCTTCTGGGGAAATATGTTTTACAAGTTTTAAGCTGTACCTAACTAAAACCACTGAATGAAGAACAAACTGTGGATTGCACTGTCATGGAAATGGGACTGTATTAATCTAGTGACGCAGAAATGTTAATAAACCTGATCTGCTGCTAAGTCTCTTTTACACTGCTGGAACTGCAGCTGCTTAAACACAGAGCACACACCAAGACAAACACCTGTTCAGTCAATAAAATTAATTTCACTTTGATCTGCTGACAAAATTAATCGATTTCCAAGTCTCTTTTACTGGACAGTAACATTTAATGTTTAAGTGTATCCAATTTAAAGTCTAATCTTTAAGTTGGATACAGTCAGACATTAAACGTTACTCTTTAATAAAGGAGACTTGCAGAACTAAATTTCAGAGCCTTAATCTGCAGCCGCCCTCATCTAAGAAATAAACAGTAGCATTGAGAGCTCACTGAGTCTTTAGCAGAAGGCCGTGCTTGATGGATCATAGCTCCATTTGGTCACAGGGGAGCTGGAGCCTATCCCAGTTGTCTTAGGGTGAGAGGCAGGGTACACCCTGGACCAGTCGCCAGTCTGTCACAGGGCTAAGACATAGAGACAGGCAACCATTCACACTCACATTCACACCTATGGGCAATTTAGAGTTACCAGTTAACCTAACCTCACTAACTGCACATCTTTGGACTGTGGGAGGAAGCCGGAGTACCCAGAGAGAAGCCATGCAAACATGGGGAGAACATTCAAACTCCACAGAGAAAGACCCTGGGCTGATGGTGAAATTGAACTCAGCACTTCTTGTTGTGAGGCAACAGTGATACCAATCATCTCAAATGGGGTTTTAGGGTTTTGTCAAGCCAGCTAATGCAAAAAAAGCTGGCTATGTTGAACTTAGTTTGTAGTATACCTCTTTAAAAACTGTGGTTTTTCTTTACTCTGATGATAGTTACTCTGAGTTTACATTTGGGTCCTTGAGCTGCAAATCCTGCAGAGTTGTCATGAATAGAGAGATTACTACTACAGTACTACTAAAAAAATGCTTTATTTATAGCAGGCTGTAAACAGGTTTGTTTTTCCTACATTTTAAGTTGGACATTTTATCATGGAAATCTGTAAAATGTTAAATGCCGGCACTGTGTTTTGTGTTCAAAGCTATAACGTTAAAGGGATTATCATTCAGCCTCTGAAAATAATGATGCAATTTATATCCTTTTTAGTTATACGCTCATATTGAATCAATTCTTGTTGATTTAAATGACATGATTTGACAATTTATCACAGTCAGGCATTTTATGATGTATAATTGCATCATATTAACCTAATTTGATGTTGAAGTGACTATGAACTGATACTGACCCTGAACTACTTGAATATATAACATTTATGAACCGTGGTATATAAGATAATATAATACTTAAGCTTCCATTGCCTGCTAATCATCTATATACTTTTCGCAGTTACTCTGTGATCCCATGGCCTCCCTCAGCAGCAATGAACCATTTCCATTTCTTTAAAGGAACTATGAACATCAGAATGAATTAACCGCAACAAGCGTGCAGGTCCTCACATTGTGCTTAATTGATTGGTTGAGGACTAATATAGCTTATCTTTTTACCGGGAGCTGAGACATGTTGCTGTTATTTCACAACAGAGCGAGATGAAGGAGAGGGAGGCAGAGAGGATGTGTGGAGATTAATGTGCCCATCTGCACTGTGCAGACTCATATTCCTCAGTGCAACACTCTTGATACCTTCATCTCTTCTGTTGTTCTCTGAAGACAGCTGTTCTTTCCGCATGCAGGGTTTTTATTCTTCTTAATGTCAGATTTTCTTAATCAGACATTTATCACTCACTTTTAGAGCAAACCAAAGCTCTGTAAACCTACTTCTGCACTGAAGGAGATCTTTCATGCCCACAGGAAGAAAAAAAAACAATGTCCTCCTTTTCGCTGTCTCATAGCAGCGACGCAACCTGCCCTAATTTCTGAGGTGCTACATTGGGGTGTGTTCAAATATTTAGTTTAGTGCACCAGGCCAATTATTTTTCAACCTCTCTGTCTGCTCCAGTGGCAGAAGATCAAAAGCCAAAAAGCCATCCGCCATGTTTACCTTGTTAACATGTACTTTTCATGGACTTCAGTGACAGTAATTTAGCCCGCTTACTATAAAAATCTCTCACACATCACACTCGTTCACACACACACAGCAGGGATGATGTTGATGCTATGGCATTACCGCTGATGCGATTTGGCAGTACTGGGGCACGATTCCTGCTGAATGCCCTAAAATTTTGCCTCCCCTGTGCCCCCATCCCTACGTTCTGTCTCTATAGTCCTCTTAGCAATCACTCCAGCGACTACCTCCCCGTCTCCCAGATCTGTAGTTGGGTCTCACCCTCACACGCTCAGTCACACACACTGAGCATGTTCATTTGGGGTGTGTAGACTCCATTCATTTCCCAGTGAGTCAAGCTATTCTTGTGCTTTGTAAGCAGAGATATGAAGCTGTGATCTTGTGTTTTTTTAAAGCCAATTTTTCTTCTTACAGCTGGTCATTTTAGGGGTTGCCACAATGGATCATGTGCCTCCATCCCACCCTAGCAATCCTCCTCCATCCCACCAACCTTTTGCATGCCATCCTTCACTACATTCATGATTTTTTCTGTGATCTGCTCCATATTAATCATTCCTTGTCTAGTAAATCCAACATCATCCAACTTATGGAGCACACGCACTGATAACACTCAATATTACCCCTTTGATTTCTGTCTGTTTTATTTAAACTCACAATTCTGATACTCTCTTCAATTTCACAACACTGTTTGCATACTCTTCCTTCAAGATTATTCCTACTCCATTTCTCCTCCTATCTACACCATGGTAGAACATTTTAAATCCACCTCCAATACTCCTGGCATCACTTCCCTGCCATCTGGTCTCAAAATATATCTACCTTCTTTCTCTCTATCACATCAGCTAGCTCTCTCCTTTTACCAATCATATTCTGTACATTTAAAGTCCGTACTCTCACCTCCACACTCCTGCATTAACCTTTTGTTTCCACTGGAACCCTGTTGGACAAAAGCACCAGAGGTGGTCTTTGTTAACCCAGGACCTGACTGATTGGGTGTGGAAATTTTATTCTTGATAATCCGCATGTTTCATTTGGAAATGATTTTATGCCAGTTCCTGATACAACCGTACCATGTAACCGTCACAGTTTGGCTAGGTTTAGGCAACAAACCACATACTAATCTTTATTAAAAGGTTAGGTTTGGGTTAAAAATAAAACTTCAACTATGTTAACAATGTTTTACAAAGTCTTTCTGGCAGAAAACCTTTAAAACAAAAGTCTGGGTGAAGCTAACTATATGTAGGCAGAGTGTTGAAACACCAAATCAAATGGCTCAGAAGAGCTAAAGGAGCACATATTAGCTATCAGCTAATAACACAATGCTTGCATAGGAATATAATAACAATTTTAATCACTACAGCTGGTTCACAGACGTCTTGTACAGGCTGTACCACACAGAGAGCCATTCATTTAGTCAGAGAATTCCTTTAAAATCCACCACTGTGTATACATGTTTGAGAGGTCCAGTTTGGCAAGTGGAATTAGTGGAGGCGATGCCTCGCAGGCAGCCGGCTACAGCTTTCTATGTGAGCACACTTGTCATTCAAAATAGTCACACCACTAAATGTCAGCCTTAAAAAAGTTGAAACAGGTGAGATATAAAAAAATAAATAAAAAATCAACACCCTATACAGTTGGAACCAGCCTCATGTGGCCATTAGAGGAACTGCAAGTGTTGGCACTTGCTCTTTTTTTTTAGCCTTGGAGTTTGCCAATTGGTCAACGTATAAAACTGCTCTAGCTTACAAGATAGTGATGTAATTTGGAAATTCAAAGGAGACTCTATTTATAGTTTAAATAACCAGAACAAATCTGTTGTTTTTTGCTAATCAAAAAATTCTGACGATATGCATCATTGTCAGTTACACCCAGATATATTGCTTCCCTGACACAATAAGACAAGTTAGTCTTGGTCTTTACACAAAGAAACCTTCACATGTCTCGTGTCATATATTTGCAGGTCTGCTGGGCAGCACCCGTTTCATCGGCTCTTCCCGAAACTACAGCACCCTGCTGTTGGAGGAGGAGGCCAGGCTGCTGTATGTGGGAGGCAGAGGAGCACTCTACGCTCTCAACACATCCAGCATCTCCACACCTGCAAACCTCACAGTGAGTGCCAAGTTGCTGAGAAACACATAATTGCTGATGTTAAGACAGAAAAGCCCATTTCACGAGTTTTTCTCCCATTCGAAGGAGGAGAAACTAATAATAGCCTTAAGCAGATTGAGCAAATCCCATTGTGTTCCACCAATTTTATGGCTATCGGATTAAATGCACCAGGCATTTATTCAAGGGTTACTGAAGTGAGTCAGAACTTAGTGACGCAGCCAGAAAATTAAGTCTGCTGTCCTTCTCTTTTCCTCCCCCTGTTTATCACACACATACACACACATACTTTCTTCTCTCTATCTGTTACTTTCTTTTCTATCTATAGGGCTTTTTATTTATCTGTTTGCCTCTCTTTATTTATTTAGCTTACGGAGTCATCCTTATTACCCTCCCATTGTTTGCAGATTGATTGGGATGCTTCCCCTGAACAGAAGAAGCAGTGCCTAAACAAAGGCAGAGACAATCAGGTAAAAGGCTGCAGCTTTGTTTTCTTCTCGGAAAAATCTCCCATCTTTATTTATTAGGTTAATATTGGAGAGCACAAGTGCAACTGCTCCATTTTGTGATGCTTGTGACAGCAACGAAACATTCAATCCTTCCAGTTGTTTTGTAATTTAGTTTCCCTGAAACCCTGAGACACTAAACTGGAGGTTGAGGATTTAAAATAAATGGCACTCATTCATTCATTATTTTTATAAATTAGACCATATACATTAAGTAGAGGTTTTCTCCATCTTTTATTTGTTGTAGAGCAAACAAAAAACAAGATGTCGCTAGAAAGGTCTGAAACTTCTGATTGACTGGGATTTTCTTTTTTTGGCAAAACCATCTCAAAGAATAACAGCTTGTTACAAACAAGGTATGCAGGAGAGGATCAGAAGACCACAGCGGGTCCCATTCCTGTCAACTAAGAACAGGAAACTGAGGCTAGAATTCAGAATAGAAGATTGGAAGAATGTTACCTGGTCTGAAGAGCTACGTTTGAATGTCGCAGCAGAAATCGTGACTCATCAGCCATTGTTTAAATGCCAGAGCGTATCTGACTATTGTTGCTGACCATGTCCATCCCTTTATGACCACATGATATCCACCTTCTGATGGTTGCATCCAGCCATGAAATGGCATGTGACAAAGCTCTAATTATCTCATACTGGTTCCTTGAACAGGACGATGAGTTCAGTGTGCTCAAACTGGCCGTAACAGTCTCAATCCAATAGAGCACATTTGGGATGTGGTGGAACTGGAGATTCACATCATGGATGTGCAGCAAAAACTCTGCAGTGGCTGTGTGATGCTATCTCGTCAGTATGGACCAAAATCTCACAGAAATGTGTCCAGAACTTTGTTGAATCTGTGCCACAAAGGATTAGGATAGTTCTGGGGGGGAAATGGGATCCAAACTGGTACTAGCAAGGTGAACCTGTGTGCTTTCCAGTTTGGGCTGCCTTAGCTGGTGAATTTTATTGAATATAGACAGATTAGCACCTACTCCATTTAAAACAGTCACATTTCAAAAAAAAAAAGTTGGCAATAGATTCTCATGATGACCAGTGACAGGGATCATCTGTATCGAATGAAAGAAAACATATCCCCATAAACCTTCAAAATAAGAGCTTCCTGTTTATGGAACCTATTACCATTAAATATATTACTGAGTGACTCTTACCACTTCCTTGCAAGCACTGTTTAAAATTTGTTAAAAAAACCAACCAGACTTGTCATCATGCTTAGCTAGTGCATATTTGCCTTTCTTTTTTTCCAGTTTTGTCAGTTTGCCTCCTTTATGGCTTTTTCTTTGTTATCAATAATGTAATGAGAGTTTATGTAACTTCCTTTTGAACTGCCTTTGCTGTCTAATAGCATTAATGTCATCTGTATTGTATTTGATTTATTTTGCATGCTTCCTTCTCTGCTCTCTAAAGCTTTTCCTCCCTATCTTTGAAAGGTTATTCTTTTATGTTTTATTGTTTTTAACACCCGGGAAACAAATTTATTGACTGATTATTATGTTTTGCCGCTGAGAAAAACAAGCAGATACACAACAAAAAACAAATCACTTCATTTTACTGTGTTCTCTGCAGACAGAGTGTTACAACCACATCCGCTTTCTGCAGCGATACAATGAGACTCACCTGTACGTCTGTGGAACGAACGCCTTCAGACCGCTCTGTGCTTATATCGTAAGAGATCCTGGGTTTTTTATGTCAAGTAAAATTATGACAAGAATTGAAATGAAACAACTTATTATGTGTTCTCAATCTTTTTTTTTTTTTACAAGGATGCAGAGCGTTTCAGCTTCTCCTCAGGTTTCGAGGAAGGCAGAGACAGGTGTCCGTATGACCCAGCAAAGGGATTCACTGGCCTCATCGTAGGTAAGTCCAAATGCAATTTATTTTATTCTACAAACCATCCTGCATTATGTTTGTCCTTGGGGATCTTATTTGTAAAGGCCTCTGGGCAGTAAAGGTTTACTGTTCTCACACATTATGGTGGCATAGTGGTGCGGAGGTTAGCACATGTTTGGAAGGATGTTCTGAGTTTTAATCTGCTGCTCATCTGTGGAATTTACAATTAAATCAATGAAATATTGATTTCCCATCCTCACCCATCCATTGGCGTCCTGGCTCCGCACTAAATTGGTTTATACATTGGTTTATCTGTCTCCATCTGCACTTGTGGACACCTGAGAATCACCTCAACTTAACTTGGAAGTGTTTGGACACAGAAAAAAAATCACCAGCTGGAGGGAGAACGGATGTTCAAGCCCAGAACCATTTTGCTGTGAGGGGACAATGCAAACCTCTGTAACAGCATGTTGCTGATATGCATATACACAGCATATTACATAATTTTTTATATAACTTGAATACTTAGTAGAACTCTAAAATCTAAGAATGAATGCAGTTTCCTTCCAGCAGTTCTCTGTGCCTCCAGTCTTTTTCGTGATTTTTTGCCTCATAATCCTGTTGCTGTCCTCGTATTCATTTCCATTTATGACTTTTTGAAGTAGTTTCGGATTTGACATTTTGCTTGCCCTTTGCCAGAATGATTTGCTTTGCTGTCTCATCAACACATCAGCAAATGACCTTGACTTTTTGGATTAAAGCTTTGGAATCTGGACTTTCACAGTAATTTCCTGTATCCTGCATTTAGGTCCTCTTTCACAGTCTGTCACCTGATTCTGCACTTTAAAATCCATAAGAGAAGTTATGGAAAATATTTTATATTGTTTATCATGCTGATGTCATAGTTTTGAATGAAACTCAAATCCATTTTCAAATACTTTGTTAGAACTGTGCTACTGTGAGGTTATAATTAGGCCCAGCAGTGTTTTTAAAACTTCTAACGTCATCATACTAAGGGTCTGTGAAGACTCATCAAATCACAGTGGACCCAGAAGGGCAAGGGGAACTTGTGGGATTTGTTTCAAATGCAAGCAAGGTCACAATTACGTGATTTTTACCAACTCAAACGGCTTAAGTCTTTAATTAGTTTTGCTGGAAATGTGAATGCTCCCTCATGTATAATTGCTTGACAACCATCATGAACATTTTTAAGGATTACAGCAAGCGTTAACTGTGCAAAAGTGCACCCTGATTTTTGGATTAGATCACACTTTTAGATGTAGCATAGATAATCAAACACTGTCTTTATTAGACAGTTTAAGCATACTAAATTTTGTCTAATTATCGTTACAAATACACAAGTCATAGGTCATACTGTTTCCACTTCCTCTGCAGTCCACTGAATGCTTTCATTTACATGTGATTAAACTTTGATATCTCAATATCTTTCTTTTTTAATCCATTTGCCACCAATTCATGCTTTTAATCTTTTAATTAGATGGTGAGATGTTCACAGCCTCTCAGTACGAGTTTCGCAGCTCTCCAGATATTCGCAGAAACTTTCCATTCCCCACACTCAGGACAGAGGAGGCGCCCACCCGGTGGCTTCTGGGTAAATATAATCATTCATATGTATGTACATAATAGCTGCTGTAAGACGCTAGTTCAAAAAGGATGGTGTCCTTTTTCCAAATATTTCAATTGGGTTTTAAATTGGATTTAACTAAAAGTAGTAGAAAGGCAACATACCAAATGTAATTGTATTGCTTCTTGTGTAGAATTTTTTTCTCTGGATGGACAGAATAGACGAATAGATGTGATGGATAATGTGACTGTGGCGGGGCGTGGCCTGCGG